ATTTCACCGAGACAAACTCACCGACTGCTGAGACATCACAGTCGATGGGATCGTCAACACTTTCGTCTTTCGTGAGTAAGAAGTTTTCGGCGCGTAATTAACTACTAGCAAGTAGTTAGAGGCGCTGACGAAACCACTTGCGCCCGTGGAACATTAGAGTCAACTTGCTGGAGAACTTTATCCCTTCGTTCTCGCTTTGTACGAAGTTATCACCACCACCGTATTCGATAATATTTCTGATCCGCTCACATGACCCCGGTTTTTCGCGAATTATCGCGAATTGTTGAATTAAATATAGATGTTTGCTTATAGATATGGCGAGATGCTATTTTATTATTTTATTGTCTGAAGTGCTCCGTAATTATTGCTGAAAATTTTCATTTCTTTGAAATGTCTTTTACATTTATTTAATTCTTTCTTTATCTCTGTGAATATAAAGTCGATTCTTTTCTTAATGAAAAGTTCAAGAAATGCTTGATAAGAATTTAAACATCTAAATCTTGAGCAGCCCTTAGACACTCAGTATTATTATTCTACAATTATTTTATTAATATCATTAATAAAATTAACTTCTTTAAACAATTCAAAACAAACAGTCTGAAGGTTCAATATAGCCTCCAAACGATCAATAATTTATGGAATAATATTAATCACCTAGGAGTCACTTTACAAACATTTTTGTAGTCTTAAATGAACTTTGCTTAAAATTCTTACAATTTGAGAAAAGTATATTTCAAATTAAATAAAAAGAACTTTAGATATTTAAATTGATCATTGTTTATCCTCAGAATACTATTCACTATTTTTGCGGTAAGCAATTTATCGTAGAATAAATATCGATCGCATTGTGATTCATTGTAAGTACGCAATCGTCGAAATTGAAAGTCGGTTCTTCTCTTTACCCGGACGACAGAACGAAAACGATGAAACGAATAGATATTCATCGTAGGAGGCTGGTTACCGTCATTCGTATTCGTCGAATGGAAATTCGGTCCTCGAACGACACTACCTCCGCCCGTCGTGGATCAAAACAGATGGCTAAGGAAAAAGCTGAGCGGATAGGGGAATCATACCCACGTGAAAACCGAGAAATCCGTCGTAATTCGTCCGCCGTCGCAATGCCCGAGATTCATCTAATTGGTATCCAATTAACCGAAATTGGCGCAGTCAGTCTGAGAACCTTATCGTGACTCGAATGTCTTGAGGGCAGATTTTGCTGATTGCGAGAGAGGACGTGCCATTGTTCAATGGTAGACACGGTTTTATCGAACGTCGCTGGAGTATGCATATTGATTCCGTTGAAGCATTAATTTATGCGATTGATGCCATCCCTCTTATCCATGTGAAGCTAAACAATTTATTTATTAAATAGGTAAATAATGTTTAAGAAGAACCATTTATGTATATTACTGTGAACTCTGAGAAGATATTTAGATCATTAATAAATATATAATTATAAAATTTATACTACACTGAAAGAAAAGATTGTGGCATAGCATTTTTAATTGACTGCTGTAACCAAAAATTGGCTGTTGCAGCCAATTAAAAATGCTATGCCATATTTTATCATCTAATTTGCTGCAGCAGCCAATTTTTTCTTCAGTGTATCGAATAAAATTATTAGTTACGGCATTGGTATGTGAAATTCATACTTTTCTTAATGGCAATACATTTTACAAAATTGCCAATTGATTATACATTTTGTTTCTATTAGATTGACAATAAATTATTAAAATTCAATAAGTGAAATATTTGTGAATCTCCGCGGTTGTTGATGCGTAAATTATGTTCTTACTCATAATGTGATAAGGTAAGCAATTCGTAACTAATTAGAACGTATTTACTAAACGAAGTTAAAAACGTTTCAACTCTAGATTCAGTGCGAAAGTCAAATAAAAACTTAGAAGTTCTAGCTATTTTACTTGGATTTATTCTTGGAGTCACAAATATTACTATTTTGTTTATTTAAATTGTAAGAAGTTTCGAACTTTTGGAGCATGTAAAGTAGGAATAAATATTTAGAGAGAACTTACGGTAACTCATACGGAAAATTGAAAAAGATCATCGTGCAAAAGTCCAGTCGAAGTTCCATCGACGGATAGCATCGATGGCAAAGCCGAAAATTTATGAACCACCCTCCCACGTTCGGGCACGACGCGACGCCTCCTTACGCGCGTTCCATTCCGATGATTGCATTCTGAAAACGTATCGACGCCTATACATCACGTCTGTCCCGACGCGGTGGCGACCTCCGGTTTTCCGCCCCCACGATCGGGACATCGCCATTTACATTCGCGCGGCAACGAGGCGACAAGAAACCCGTTGGAATTCCGAGCATTAATTTAATTCTGACCTAATCACGATTGCCTCGCTTGTTCCTCTCCCCTATCCCTATGGACTTCGTTCCTTGGTAATGGCGACGATCGCTGGGGCCCCAAGATCGTGGCATCCATTTCTGTTACGCTCTTGCGAACGACGCTCGAGCGTTTCAACGATCGCATTCTTTCCGTTTGACCGCATTGCGACGGGGCGCACGACGACTATTAGACTCGTACTCAATGCAAATTGGACGCTTCCTAGGCGCACGTCGTGGTTACGAGACTACGGTATACGCAGTCTAATTGCGGCCGACCATGCCCTGATGCAAAGAGACCTTTACGGAATCGTGTCTTTCTCTCTTTTGAATTGAATCTTGTTCCATGAGGGAAAATTCAATGGCGGCAAGAAATTCACGTCACCGATTTAATGGAGACATGTTTAAATTAAGAGAGATATCATGCTGAGAATTACAGCCTGAATAAAGTGCTTGTTTTATGTTCAATTTTTCTTTTAGCAAACGTCTCTTTTTTTGTTCAATTTTTTGCGGTATAAAAAATTTGATAATCGATGACAACGCAGAAAACACGTACAGCGAGACGAGATCCTTTTGTATAAAATCAAAAATTAAGGAAGCTTAAACGATTTACAAGAACATTATATATAAGTGATTTATAAGAAATACCTATATACTTTCTAAATTCTTTGGAGTCTCATTTTAAAGAGTGAAAATTGAGCTAGTTTTGAAAAAGATTGGCTCAATTTTCAATCTTTAAGAATGAGATTTCATTCTTTAAAATGAGATTTTCGAGTTTTAGAGAGTAACTTGTTCTCTTTACGTAGGACTCTAAAAAATAAAAGAATTTTTATAGGAGAATGAAATATTTCTTAAGAAGAAGTAACACGTTTTCTTAGATTAAAATCAAATTCTTTATTATATATAATCAAGATATTATATATAATCAAGTTCTGCTGTACATATACAGTAGAATTATTTGTAGTAAATGAAATAAATCAAAAAAACTAAAATAGTTTGTAAGAACATTTTATAAGTAATTTTGCAAAAAATACAACTTATTTTTCAATTAAGAGAAATAAATCCATTTTCTCTTTTGTGTAATATTTTTGTGTAATTTTTTTAAGAAAAAATAACATGCTTTCTTAGATTACAATCAAGTTCTTTATTATGATATAATCAAGTTCTGTTGTATTACAGCAGAATTATTTGTACTATAATAAAAAAGATAATAGTGCAGCATTTGTCGTGGATGTTCTCACGACAACCTAGATTTCGCGACCGTGTCAACTGGAATCGCTCTCCGAGATTTTCCACGCTCTCGAGCGTGCGACACGATAGATAAGAAGAACGATCATTCTCCGAGCTTAGAAAGTTCCTCCTCTTACTTCGAGATAATATTCATAATTGCTCTACACTCCCTTTCCTTGCTGAACTTTCTTTCGCGGATAGCCACGGCTGGTCGACCAAATTATCCGAGGATCAACGTCTCGATCGTATCATCCTCCCTCTTATCGTTCGTGTTGCTATTGTACCAGCCGTTTCGCGGCCGAATTTGCTCGAAATCCCACCGGCTTTGGCTCTAATCTCGACCCAATGACGCCGAGATACCTCGTGACGTAAACGTTTATTTCTCCTTTTATTTTGCGGTATTTTATGAAACTGCGAAACTCTACGCCATTTCCGGCGAGATTTATTATTACCTCCCCGTCTGACATTGCATTCGCGCTCGCGAGATGTAATAATTAGTCGGCCGAAGTTTCGCGATAACGGCCGGGTATCGGATTTTCGCGACTCAGAAGTCTCTGATAAAACTTTGCTCCGACCGTGGCTCGTATCTCGCAATTATTTCACTTCGCGGCGCTCTCCATAACCTTCCTCAGCGGCACTCTTGTCGAAACGACGCCTCGAGCGAATAAGAATATTGTTTGGCCGCCGATTCATTCCTTCCTTTACAATTCGAAGAGAAGTACAATTAACATAATTCTCTCGGCCGTACCGATAATCATGAACTGTCTGATCGCATTTTCGACTTTTCCCCCGGCACTCTGGCCGGTTTCATCGTCGAATATTATTCTACTGCGGCGAGAGGAAATCGCTAACGAGATGTTCCTAATTAAAACTATAGCCGACTACCCGCGGCGTTATAATTCACGATTAACGACAACCTCTGCTTTCTCGGATCTGCATCGCGAACTTTCAAGATCTTCGGCGACTGAAGTTGTACCGACATGTTAATTTGGTTTTCTCGGTTAAACTTTGCGACGGTTACGCGAAAGAGAGAGTTTCTTGTACCTAATTATTTTATAATATAGTGATCGCGATATCGACATAAATAATCTCATTACTTGGCGTCAATATAATTATTTTTTTAGACTTATAATTTTGCAATTGTTATTAAATAGGTGATTTTTATTTTTAACGACTCTGTGATTATTGCATTTATATTTGAAAAAAGATATTCTAATATGTATTCTAATATTTACTGTAACATCACATTGCAATTGCTGCAATTGATTCTGCATGGAGTGCGTCAGAGATATCCTTCAAAGGTTGCTTGCATGCAAATTGTGCCATAATTGAATTAAATTCCTGGAGTAAATTCCTCATGTTCCAACAGAACAATTGACATGCCTTAGTAATTTACCACGCGGTTACATTTTTTCAGGTGGCTTCACCTGCTGTTTAACCTGGGGGTACAGGTGGTCGTGGGACTTCCCTTAGAAATGGTTCACGGAAGCCTGAGGATCGCCGCGGTTTACATGGCCGGGGTTCTTGCCGGTGAGTAATGTCGTCTGCAATGTGAATTATGTTATGGTACATCTACGATTTATGCATCTATGTTAATGCTCGTTTAACCATCGTGTTTCGCCACCCATCAAACAAAGTTAAACAAAATTCTGACTTGAAATAATTATACAGTTTTGCAAAACTATTTAATATTTGTTTACAAAATTTACTTCACCCAAAAAGATTATACAGACATTATTGTTTTCTCGCGTGTAAATATATTTCATTGTTTAAATATTTATATTTTTTATTCAGTTATCATTGAACATTTTAACGCAAAATGCATTGAATAGATTTTATAATAGAACAGACGTGTAGCTTTTATTATTCGTTTATTATTTTTTAATCACATTTAGTTTATTTCTATTTCAGTTTATTGCTACTTCATGTACGACAATCAGTTGACAGTGTAATTTATTTTCTTTCTATCTCTGTTTCTTTTTAAATTTTTCTCTACCGGATGTGTTTTTGCATTCGGAATTGTAAATGTGTATATAAATGCAAGTCGGATATATCACGAAACGCCAACACCATAACTGAAGTCCAAAACGTCCAAGATATACAGGGTCCTAATTATCCAAACATATGCTCCCTGCTGTAACGAGGTGTTTTAATTAAAATTCGTTAATGTTAATATAAATACGCTGACAGCTGGATAATGAAACAGCGCGCTTTTCATTCGTAATTTTGTGCGTTTTCCAAATAATTGTAGTAACCTGATCTCTCGAATTTTGTCGGTGACAAGCTGAATTTTTTAAAATTTATCACATTAAATGAGAAAATTTTCACCTAATACTTTTCCTTTGTCATATTTTGTTATACCAATTAAGAATTTTAAGCGAAAATATCGCTACTTTTACATCATTATATGGTCTCCTTTCTAACCAGTTTCTGTGCGAAACATTTTTGCATATTTATCGAGACAACAAAGGCAACCGAGTAATTCCGGTAAATTGTTCCATCCCATGTATATGTATGTACGAAATGTGTATACACAGGGATACATGTGCGGGCAAACGTATCTGTATACATCTAATTGTCATTTGCATAAATTCGATTAGACACAGATCCCGAGTTATTAGCGATCATGAAAGTAAAACGTGGCAAAATGGAGCGCATGAATAATTAACTCTAGCCGGACGAGGACAAAGAGGATTTAGGAATTAGATAGGGGCATGAAGGTATAGGAATTTCAAAGTAGCGCGGCGATGTTACTATTAATGAATTAGCAAAAATAGATTAGTCTGTTTTTTCATACATTCACATTTATACATTAATTACAATACAGTACAAAATGTCAAGAAAATTGTATATTGCAGATTCAAATCGATATAAATGTTGTAAAGATAGTCTTAAAAGATGAAACTTGCAAATTACGTCTTGCGATCACTGTATTTTTTAATAGAATTCGAGGAGGTCGTTTACCCTTTAAAATCCATCAGGGTGAATATCATTGTACGAAATAAAATTCTATATAAGGATGAAAAAGCTACGAGAGTGCAGTTTCGTATAAAATATCATGGTAAGATATTTTGAGATATAATAATGTCATTTTACGTCTGATTCCAATATTTTATTTTAGAAATTAAAATTGAAACTAAAAAGAGATTGATATATGTGATTTTTTTGCTATATTTAAATTTAGCTGATAAAAAAACTTGATATATTGAATATTTTGTTGAAACTTAAAAACTTAGCAGAAAATGACACAATTAGATACGATCTTATTTGCTATCAAAACATTGCATAATCAATTCATTTTGTTTGTCAAGTTTAATTTTTGTATAGCACTCACTTAGCGATGCGTCGCCATATGTAATAATCTGACGAGAATAGCTCGCTAGTCATCTTGATGCACATTTTTCGAACACTGAAAAAAGAGGTCTGGTTGCATTAATTGGAATTGATAAGATAATAGTTGAAAAGAGACGAATCAGAATTTTTGATTGAATCTATTATAATTCTAATTGAGATATATAATCAGAATTCTGATTGATGTGATCATAATCTTCTGATGTGACCATATACTTCATTTTCAACCAGAAATTTTTTTTAGTCAGTATACTTTTTGAGAAGAATTGAATAGTCAATACGATATGGGCAAAACACGAACGAGACTTGAGCATCACTTTTAAGATTTAGTCTTCATAAGGATAAAACACACACAAAACAAAAAACGAATTCTTTTCGGGCAAGCAAAGAACACTTTGAAATCAAATTTGCAACAGTAAAAGTTTATTGCAATTATAAATACGAGTAAAAAGAATAGTTAAACGATATACTGGAAGGAGTAATAAATCGTTTATGTACAAGAGAAGTACGAAGACTGCGAGAGTAAGATGTTCCCTCGTACCTTCTCGCGTCGCTACAATTTGATGGAAACATCAAGCTCTTCTGAATGGTATCGACTGCCATCTCCACCTCTTTGTCGTTTTCATATCTCGTGAAATTTCCCGATTGCGCATTTCCGACTGTCTTTGTCTAACCGTTTTATCCTAGTTTTCCCGTTTTCATGCCTATCTCCGTCTTTGTTCGTCTAAAGTCACCCACAAGAATGCGCCGCGGTGACAGCTTGTCTGGGCCCACCGCGACGAGATTACTTCGTATGCATCGCAGTCGCGACGATGTAATGCGATTGCAACGACACAAGTGCAACGGCACCAACATTCCCCGTCCCTTCTTCTTCTCATCGTGGCCACACTACCTTCACGCGCCTTGCATTGATCGTTTTTCTTCCTCCGATCGGCCAACTGTTTAACATTGATCAAATTCTAGCGACAGACATATTCGATTAATCTAAGACACTGAAAAATATTCATTTTCCTGTAAAAGTGTAAAAAGGAATAACCAAGTACAATCTGTGATATCTTGGAATAATCTCAAATATCGCTACTTATTTAAATTAATTAAAAGTGACAATTCTGAAGAAAATGTTAGAAATTTATTCGTAATTATATTAATTTTTATTCAAAATTTGTTGCTAAAAGATTTTATAGTATATATATTGTAACATTTAGAATTATTATTACAATTGTTTCACGCTTTTAAATAAAAATATTTTATTGTACTTTTTATGTTGTTTGAAATTCAAAATTCTCATTTTTATTCTCATTCAAGCATTAATATAATTGGCCACTCGTATATTGCTGCGATCAATTAACAATAATTGTTATAAAATAGCAAAAGTATTTGCCACATTGCATACATCAATCAATATTGCGCCATATTGCAGAAAAAAGAGAAAAAAACGTCGAAACGTAATTGTCGAATTAATAAAGCGCATAAATCAACGTTTTAAATTATGCGGTCGGTACATCACATGAGTGTAAATTATCCTCAGTGCAGCGTGAAATCAGGGGCAGCTTATAAATGCACTTCTCTGGAGTGGCACGGATTAATGTCGTTTACGACATCGTCGCGCTTATTGCTGGTTGTACTCCCTGTCCTCCCTATTGCTCGACCATTTCCACTTGGAAATTTGGACGTAGGAACGAGTAACACTATGAGATAGCGATTTGCCGTCGTATGAAAGTAGAATAAACGATGTATATACATAAATTAATTGTATTCATAAAGTAATGTATATATATATAATTTATTTTATAAAAACTTTATTTTCTGATGCTGAGAGTGAGAATAGATAGTCTAAACATTATCACTGGAAAAAAAGTTTGGTTGCATTAATTAGAATTCTGATTAAATACTAGTATAATTCTAGTTAAGATAATCAGAATTTTGATTGATATGATCAGAATTATCTGGTTCGTCCAGTTTCAACCAGAAATTCTCAATGTAGAATTTGATGTAATATGATATTTAAATGTGAAAAAAATATTATCTATTTTAATTTCTAATTATTATGTGAAATAATATACGATTGTTTAGATATTCAGATATCTTAATTAAAATTCTTTTACGTTGAATGTCAAAAAGTCGTGTTCGAATAGTAATGACTATTTAGCTTTATCGTTAATCGATTGACAAATTGTTAATGATATCTGAAAAAACTAAACTCGCGAACAACAAACAAACGATATCAATCTGCCGAAGTCGTTTATTCTTATTAATTCTGTCTCGTGCGATATGCCGTATCGCTAGCGAGCTATAACGAACGTTTCACGATATATTTACAGTTTTTTTCTGAGGAATGGATACGGCTTCGTGTCAAAGCACCGTCGTCATTGTCGTCATCATTATTGTCGTCCTCGTCACCGTCGTCGCGGCGCTGTCGAGTCGATTGCGTGACATTAGCAATTATACGACGGTATTTGCATGTCGTACGACGCGCCTCGTCGTTCGTATGCACGACTGCGTGTGGCCAGTCCCCGCGCATTAACTAGACTCGAAGATAGCAGGGGACGACAACGACGATAGCGCACCCGAGTCTCCGACTCCAAGAGTCGATACTTTGGCTTTTTTTCTTTTCCTTTTTTCGCGCGCCTTTAACTTTCCTTTCAGCACGAGATCGCGTTGTCTCGACTCGTTAGAGTCTCTATCCACTTATTTCTTTCGATCATCCTGGAAACAACGGGAGTTTGACCGAGGAAAACTTTTTAAATTGAGCAACGAAACACGCTACGTGGACGCTAAGTTTATGAGGAAATCTCATTGAATTGTCGTTGTTGTCGATAATAATTTTATTCTGAATCTTTTTTATATTATTATTAGTTTTTTGTTTTTGTTTTTCCTTATATTTTTAAGTATGTGTTTATACACGTTTATTGTTTATATATGTATATATATACAATCTCTATATCTTTCTTGTTTATTTTTTCAAAATGGAAAAAACTTCGCAGTTAATTTTGTCGATATCGGCGCGATTGTGATTACTTCTTTTCGAGAACGCAATACAGGGTTTCCTAAAGTACGCGTCACGCTAATTCGCGAAAGAGTGCAATGATCAGTTTCACTGGAAATAAAAAAAGAAGAGGACACAAGAGGGTGACGGCAGTAAAAGCCGTTTACACTACATTTTAATCGCGAGAAATCCA